GAATAAATATTTAATGAAGAACATTGTGTTATGTCGAGCCAACAAAAACCGTTTACACATTAAAGCATATAAACATTCGAAATGAAATGTGTAATTAACACCGGTCGATCAATGTCTAATCAATCATTTAAAATACATTTATTCACCATTCAAACATTTATACAATGAAACACAAAACATGCAAATACGGGCGTGCCGAACAAAAATTACAACGATGCACACATTGAAAATAAAACATTTTTATTTGATTAGCCAATGATTACATAATTTTGAATGCAATCTGCATTTGAGCATTACAATGAGTTTTTTTATCCGGCGTTTCCCTCATCCTCACTCTACTCGACTTCGAAGGTACAAAAGGGAAAGCGATTACGTTGGTATAGTGGCAACGCCAAATCAATGCCCGACGCTCGGAGAGCTTCCGCGGCTTGAAATGCCTTGATCCAAACATGTTTAAATCCACGATTTTCACAACGGCAAACTTCTTCAGCGAGTTTCTCCTTGGTCTTCCGAATTTCGGCCTTTCGGTCATCATGCAAGCCTTTTTCATTGGCCGCGGCCCTCGCTGTCTCAATCGTGAACATGCTAGTCATGTTTTGATCGGCAATAACGTCACTTATCAGCCTTTGAGTCACCCTCTCTTCCACAATCGGGTTGGGATGGCCGACTGATTGAGACTCGGCAGACTTAATTTTCCTTAGCTCACGTTCGGCCTTCTCCGCGCGAGCTTCTCACTTCCGAATGCGTTCATCTCTCTGCTCTATATCGCGCCGAGTGGCACGGAGACGCATGTCGATCTCATAAGTGGTGTACAGCCCCTTCACTGCCCTTTGAACGCCTTCACGAAACACATCGAAGTCCTGCCGACCTACCATCGACTGTTGGACTTCGGGTGGAAAAATCCGTTAAGCGAACTCGACTGCCATGTTTGGATCTCGAACGATTGAATCCGCCTTTGTCTTTGGTCTATTGCCCACGGAGACTGCAAAACTCAATTAGTGAGGAGTCGCATTGGATTCCCTTCCAGAACGGGGTTGAGGAGATTTGCCCTGTGGCTGCTTGTCCCTCCTGGGCGACCTACTTCGATGACGAGGAGATTGATGTCTCTCCCGATTCCTCGAACTCCTACTTCCCATGCGCGAAGGTTCACCACTTCAACTCATGTCCCCTCCCAGCTCAGCTAGCGTCTTCGTTTCCCCTCTGTTGTTAAAGTAAAGTTTATTTGACATTCGCACTTGTTTAACTGTCCTCAAAGAGCTGGATTGAGTTGCTGACTGAGCATATAAATAAGACTTTCGTTCACGAAGTACAAACCCATTTATTCCCTACGAGAGCAGCATCTCCGAGGCAACCTGTAGACACCCCATTTTTGACCGCCCTTAAGACTTGGGCACTATTGATGGTTTACTTGGTGGAGAAAGGTGTGCAGGGCAAAGGTTCTGTTTCTTCAGCAAGGAGAGAGTCAAATCTCAACTTCATACCCTTTTTGGACCAAAACAATCTTGATCAAAAGATTTTAGACCTTGAAACCCTCTCTTTCAAAATGTTTTCAAAATAAAGTTCCTACAATGTTCCGACGCTCACATTTCGTTAAATGTTGTGCTTTTTGGTAAACCGAGCAAGGACGAAGTGGAAATGAATGAAAGAGAGTTAAAATCTTTGAAAAATCTTTCAAAACACCTTATTTAGGGGTTTGGAGTAGAGGAAAATTGGAGAAGAGGGAAGAAACCAAGTTGAAGAAGAAGGTGGGTATGAATCGCTAAGACAGAGAGCCGAGCGGTCCTCGCTAAATCACGCCTATCTGTCTATACACTCGGATTTTAACTATGAGGCCACCACTGTTGGAAAACTTATTTCTGGGGCTTTATTTTTCACTCAAGAATCTCCTAAAGCCAAGTCCGGATGGGGGAGATATGGTTGGTTGAAGTAGGGCATCAATCTGGTTGGACCGAAACTGCGCGGCTTCACCAAAACAGGCATAACATTTTGCACAGTTGGAATTTTGATGCAAGGATGGTGCCATTGGAAAGCTAACTTCTGGGGCTTCAATTTGGGCACTGGACAACCACTTTTTGGCCTTTCATGCCATTGGCCGACCACCTTTCTTTCCGGGACACCACTTTTTGTCCTGAAAAACCAGAAAAAGTAGCTGGCCGACCAGAAAAAGTGGCTGGCCGACCACTTTCTCATGAAAAGTGGTCAGTCGACCAGTAAAAGTAGTCGGCCGACCACTTTAACTAGTCGGCAGCTTTCCTGCATATTCTACAGGTGTTGTGAATGCCAACTATGCCAGCTGGAGTGCACAGATTGTGTCACGACCCCCAAACCGCCCCTAGTAGGATGGTGCCGTGATGGCCAATAATCCGAGATTACCGAAGGCCACTTACAAAGTTCACACACAATCAGAGTATAAATATATGGGGCTCACAAGTGCGGAAGCAAAATCTACAAATCTAATTAGTCCATAAGAGCAGTGCGTAGATCAAATGAAATGTCATACAACTTTACATAGCTTTACAACTTGAATACAAATAAAATGAAGTACAAAAATACATATTACATCTTGATAAAAGGCTTCTCAAGCCGACATGTTCAAAATACATAAGCTTCAAAATTGTCGACTTCCTCACTGCCGACATAACATGCATACAAAACACACATCTCGGCGTAGCCGACTTCTTGCTTGTTACCTACATACATACATAGGGAGGGTGAGCTTGGATACTCAGTGAATGGTACAAGTAATAAAGGGATTAAATGAATGATACCCGAGGTCTTTGTAAAACATACATATCATAGCTTGCACAAAACATGAGATGAATCTAGTTCATCAAACTTGATCTTACAAAACTTACTTACTTACTTACTTAACATACGTCAACTTAAAACATGGGGTGATGACATTCTGGCAAAACAAAAGCATAACCTCGGCATCGAGCACACCCGTTCATAGTCCGTCGGTGGCCGATATCTTAACAAGGGTGCTACTTAGGCTTAACGTCCCCTAGCACGAAAGGAGGTGAAGAATTAGGCTTAAAGTCCCCTAGCACGGAAGGACTTGTGCCACAAATGCTTAAAGTCCCCTGGCACGTACGGACTAGTGCACAAATGCTTAAAGTCCCCTGGCACATACGGACTATGTTACCTAGGCTTAACGTCCCCTAACACAGAAGGACGGTGTTACTTAGGCTTAACGTCCCCTAACACGAAGGGACGGTTCCAAGACTGTCATCCAAAACAAAGCTTATACTTGATACATAAAAATAGGGATATCATTCATGCTTAACAATACTTTTATCAAAACAAGGCAAAGCTTTATCAAAACTTTATAACATGGCTTTATTAAAAATACCACTCACATAGCTCTTCGGACGTCGGGATCAAGGCAAAGGTCCAAGTCCTACAAACACATGGCAAAGTCTACTGAATGCACTTCTCAAAACAAGTCTTACATGCATGCAAATGATCTCGAGAAAACATGCTGGAAGTCAAAACACTATTTTACATGTCAAGATGACATGTTGGGTACCAACCAGGACTTTGCCGAGGTCCCACACCTCCTGGCCGAGGTGTGGCTACCTAGGCTTCGGCGTGCGGCTGCATGCCGAGGTGCGCACAAGACAAACTAAAGGTGTAAGTGATCATGCAAGGTAGGCCAAGGTGAGATACGATGCTTGGCCTAAGTGTGAGGTCTAGGTAGGAGTGATCTCGGCGACTGCACTTCGGGAAGTGATGTCTGGAGATCTGGGTTTCCACCAGTGAAGAACATGAACATGAAGATCATGAAGAATATGAATGCTAAAATCATAACTTCTTTATTACAAAAATTTGGGATTTCATGCTATGAGTTCGAAATCATAGACCTGGGTACCCATACTTGAAAATCATATGGAAACAAACACAAAAACATAGATCTAGGCATGAACTTTCGGATCAAAACATGACTTTTCTTGAAGAACACATGAATGCTATTTTCTCTTTCTAAAACCGAACTTCAAAGCAATGCATGGCTTACAAATCATATTCAATCATGCAATGAAACAACATGAACATAAAGAACAACATGAGTAGATCAAGAATCTAACCTTCGAACACGGATCTAACGGTTCGATCTCTAGGTGTCAAGCTTGGAAATCTACTCTCCCTCAAGAACTTCTCTCCCTCTTCTAGAGCTTCTCTCTCCTTTTCAAAAACAAGGATACAACAAATGATAGGTTTTCTCCCTCTGCCGGCTAACTTAACACTCAGCTCGGACACGTGGTAATGGCTGGTTGGTTCTCCTCAAAAAGGTGATAGATTGACAAGACAAGACTATGACAAAGTGTATCTAACAAGCTACCCGGCAAGGCACTCCGGCAAGTGATGACATCGGCTAAGGACAAAGCTTCGGCAACTAAGGTGACAATGACCTCGGCTAGGAAGGACAACACTTGACTAAGCTGTGCCACACCTTGGCCTAGATGTGCCACACCTCGGTCTAGGTCATACCACTCCAGGACAAGATCACTTAGGTGCAAAGGAAACATCTCGGCCTAGATGATTCACATCTCGGCCTTGGTGATGAACACTTCGGCCTAGATGATTCACATCTCGGCCTTGGTGATGAACACCTCGGCCTAGATAATGACATCTCGGCCAATATGTCAGGGCGAAGGTGGAGGTCAAACAAAGTGGTTCCAAGACAATTCTAGACTGAAGATGACCTCGGCTTGGAATGATCTAGGCATAACATAACTTAGGCTCAAGACACCAAGGAAAGAACAAAGAATGCACACAATACTTAGGCAAATCACATAAACACAAAACAAGACATGCACCTTACTTAGGCAAAACAAGTCATAAACGTACAAATGCAAGCTCAACGAGTCATAATCATACAAATGCTCATGAACATGACTAAGACATAAATGTGGGTTGTTACATCCTTCCCCCCTTAAAGAAGTTTGGTCCTCCAAACTTAGCTTACCATGTCCTCAAAATAATTTCCAAGCGTCGGGTTCTCATCTCTTCTTATCTTTTCTAGCCTTTACCCTTGGACAGTCCCTCACACGGTGACCCATCTCGCCACATTCAAAACATGCTCCAGATGCCCGATGACAAACTCCAAAATGTCGCTTCCCGCAACTTGCACATGTCGGCCAAGTACCACCTTCCAGATTCGCGTTATTGGGACTGTCCACCTTTGTCTCCTCCTCAGCATCATTCGAGTCTGCCTCTTCTTCGCAATTGTCATAGGTCTGCCTCTTCTTCTGATTCTTCCCCGAACTTTGACTTCTGTTCAGGTTGGCTTCTGCAAGGATGGCTTTATCTAACACTCCAGCATACGTCGGCATGTTGAGCAAATTAACCTGGTCTTGTATTGGCCCTCGAAGTCCACTCTCAAACTTACGAGCTTTCCTGTATTCGTTGTCGACCATGTGAGGTGCATACCTTGCCAACTCGGTGAAAGCACGATCATACTCCGCCACTGTTTTGCTACCCTGGGTCAACATCTGAAATTCTGTGGTTTTGCGATCTCGGACACTGAGCGGGAAATGCTTGTCATAGAACAGCTCCAAAAATCTGGCCCAAGTCAAGTCTGGGTTACCTTCTCGGATCATCATCCACCATCTTCGAGCGTCGTCTTCCAAAGTGAATGCTGCTAATGACACTTTCTGAGTGTCGGTGCTGGGAAAAACCTCGAACAACTTCTCCATCTCAAGAATCCATGCTTCTGCCTTCATCGGCTCTATACCTCCATGGAACTTTGGCGGTTTCATCTTCTTAAATTCTCTGATCAGGGTCAATGTGTCATCTCCATACAAAGCTGGCTGCGGAGGCACTTGTGGTACTGGCGGTAGTGGAACTGCATGTTGGCCATATGTCTGCTCGGCCTGGGTAGAGGTGGTACCAGTGTTCTGCTGCCTTGCCTGCCTTAACTCGTCGGTCAGACTTTCAACCAATCTTTCTAATCTGTCTATTCTGTCCTCGGATTGATCTCGGCCAACTGGGGGTCTACCTCTTCTCATGATACTGGGGGTATGCAGGATGTGACTCTTAAACATGACTTTTCTTGAAGAACACATGAAAACCATTTTCTCTTTCTAAAACCGAACTTCAAAGCAATGCATGGCTTACAAATCATATTCAATCATGCAATGTCTGATACCATTCTGTCACGACCCCAAACCGCCCCTAGTAGGATGGTGCCGTGATGGCCAGTAATCCGAGATTACCGAAGGCCACTTACAAAGTTCACACACAATCAGAGTATAAATATATGGGGCTCACAAGTGCGGAAGCAAAATCTACAAATCTAATTAGTCCATAAGAGCAGTGCATAGATCAAATGAAATGTCATACAACTTTACATAGCTTTACAACTTGAATACAAATAAAATGAAGTACAAAAATACATATTACATCTTGATAAAAGGCTTCTCAAGCCGACATGTTCAAAATACATAAGCTTCAAAATTGCCGACATCCTCACTGCCGACATAACATGCATACAAAACACACATCTCGGCGTAGCCGACTTCTTGCTTGTTACCTACATACATACATAAGGAGGGTGAGCTTGGATACTCAATGAATGGTACAAGTAATAAAGGGGTTAAATGAATGATACCCGAGATCTTTGCAAAACATACATAGTATATCTTTAACAAAACCATACATAACATAGCTTAGCTTGGCTTGAAATAAAACGTCAATCGAACCTTGGTCTTTCAAAACTTACTTACTTACTTAACATACGTCAACTTAAAACATGGGGTGATGACATTCTGGATAAAACAAAAGCATAACTTCAGCATCCAACACACCCGTTCATAGTCCGTCGGTGGCCGATATCTTAACAAGGGTGCTACTTAGGCTTAACATCCCCTAGCACGAAAGGACGGTGCTACCTAGGCTTAAAGTCCCCTAGCACGGAAGGACTATGCTAGATAGGCTTAAAGTCCCCTAGCACGGAACGACTATGCTACATAGGCTTAAAGTCCCCTAGCACGGGAGGACTTGTGCCACAAAAGCTTAAAGTCCCCTAGCACGTACGGACTATGTTACCTAGGCTTAACGTCCCCTAACGCGAAAGGACGGTGTTACTTAGGCTTAACTTCCCCTAACAGGAAAGGACGGTTCCAAGAATGTCATCCAAAACAAAGCTTATACTTGATACATAAAAATAGGGATATCATTCATGCTTAACAATACTTTTATCAAAACAAGGCAAAGCTTTATCAAAACTTTATAACATTAACTTTATTAAAAATACCACTCACATTAGCTCTTCCGACGTCGAGATCAAGGCAAAGGTCCAAGTCCTACAAACACATGGCAAAGTCTACTGAATGCACTCTTCAAAACAAGTCTTACATGCATGCAATGATCTCCGAGGGAAAACAGCTGGAAGTCAAAACACTGTTTTACATGTCAAGATGACATGCTGGGTACCAACCAGGTCTTTGCCGAGGTCCCACACCTCCTGGCCGAGGTGTGGTTACCTAGGCTTCGGCGTGCGGCTGCATGCCGAGGTGCACACAAGACAAACTAAAGGTGTAAGTGATCATGCAAGGTAGGCCAAGGTGAGATACGATGCTTGGCCTATGTGTGAGGTCTAGGTAGGAGTGATCTCGGCGACTGCACTTCGGGAAGTGAGGTCTAGAGATCTGGGTTTCCACCCGGGAAGAACATGAAGATCATGAAGAATATGAATGCTAAAATCATAACTTCTTTATTACAAAAATCTGGGATTTCATGCTATGAGTTCGAAATCATGGACCTGGGTACCCATACTTGAAAATCATATGGAAACAAACACAAAAACATGGATCTAGGCATGAACTTTCGGATCAAAACATGACTTTTCTTGAAGAACACATGAATTCTATTTTCTCTTTCTAAAATCGAACTTCAAAGCAATGCATGGCTTACAAATCATATTCAATCATGCAATGCAATAACATGAACATAAAGAACAACATGGGTAGATCTAGAATCTAACCTTAGAACACAGATCTAATGGTTCGATCTCTAGGGATCAAGCTTGGAAATCTACTCTCCCTCAAGAACTTCTCTCCCTCTTCTAGAGCTTCTCTATCCTCTTCAAAAACAAGGATACAACAAATGATAGGTTTTCTCCCTCTGCCGGCTGACTTCACACTCAGCTCGGACACGTGGCAAAGGCTGGTTGGTTCTCCTCAAAAAGGTGATAGATTGACAAGACAAGACTATGACAAAGTGTATCTAACAAGCTACCCAGCAAGGCACTCCAGCATGTGATGACATCAGCTAAGGACAAAGCTTCGGCAACTAAGGTGACAATGACCTCGGCTAGGAAGGACAACACTTGACTAAACTGTGCCACACCTTGGCCTAGATGTGCCACACCTCGGTCTAGGTCATACCACTCCAGGACAAGATCACTTAGGTGCAAAGGTAACATCTCGGCCTAGATAATACACATCTCGGCCAATATGTCAGGGCGAAGGTGGAGGTCGAACAAAGTGGTTCCAAGACAATTCTAGACTGAAGATGACCTCGGCTTGGAATGATCTAGGCATAACATAACTTTGGCTCGAGACACCATGGAAGGAACAAAGCATGCACACAACACTTAGGCAAATCACATAAACACAAAACAAGACATGGACCTTACTTAGGCAAAACAAGTCATAAACGTACAAATGCAAGCTCAACGAGTCATAATCATACAAATGCTCATGAACATGACTAAGACATAAATGTGGGTTGTTACAGATTGCATCCTCCATACACGTGTACGGAGGGATTGCATCTAGCTTCAAACTTCTTTAACAAGCTTGGTGCTTGGTTTTCTATAAGTGGGAACCTCCTCCCTCTTATCTAAGGTTCTGAAATTTGCCAAGAGTGATAGATACATCTCCCTCTCTTTATTCTTCTCTCCCTCTATATTTTGTGCCTTAAAGAGTCTTATTCCTTCACTTTTGCACTATAACTCCTAGCCATACGCCACCATATTTGAGCTGAGATCCTTGGAGGTGGTTTTTGGGTCATAAGAGTTGGTTTTGGGCTAGAGGAATTGTTATTGTTGCAATGCTTCAAGGGTAACCCATTTTCTCCTCTTTAAGCTTTGTTTTTTTGGTTACTCTCTTAGCTATATTTGCATGCTGATTTGAGCTTAACTTTCTACTAGAAAAAGTTCTATTTTTTAGTCCTTGTGATGTTTGTTTAAGGTCATTTTTGCAATGGGGGTGGCCCATCCCCTCTTAGGCCTTGTTTTGAGTCATCTCTTTAAGCTTTTGAGATCACCTTCTCTTGGCCTTTTAACCACTGAAATCCAGCGGATGTTCAGTGGGGAAAATGTGGTTTTAAGGCCTGAAATGAGAGGAGGTGGTCCCCCCTCCTCTTGTCTTGTTTGTATGCATAGAGGGTCTATCAAATGAGCATGTTTTTACACTTCTTTGTGGCTTTGTTTAAGCTTGTTTTGGTTACTTTTGGGACCAGATATGACTATGTTTTTGGCTTGTATGATTGTCTCTTGAGTGCATAATACACTTGTAGTGTAAATCACACAAACTAGCCTTGTATGCTTCATGAAGTAGCATGTCATTCTAGCTTGTTTTGTTTCCATTTCAGCATGTTTTTGGTGATTTTTTTCCATGTCATGACTCTGTTATAGTTTGGTTTGGTTGGCCCTTGCATGCCTCATGCACTTGTAGTGCAATTCCATGAAATTGCCTTAACATGCTTTGTCCTTTAAGCCATATTTTTAGCATGATTTTCGCTCGACCCAAAGAATCTTTTAGCCATGTTTTACCATGATTAAGGTCTGTTTGGTGTTATTTTGGTCATGCATGTTTGGTTTTGTATAGCTATGGTGTATTTCGCTTTGCTAGCCTTGCACTTTGGGCCCCCTAGCATGTCTTATTTGAGCTATTTGCATGATATGGAATCATTTGGTAGGTAATTTCAGACCATAAAATTCTGCCATGCTCTCATGATTATCACTCTTTCATTATGTTTAAGAGTTGTGCCCTTATGCCTTGTTTGTGAGCTAATTCGGGAGCCTATCTTTCTTGCCATCTTTGTTGCGAGTTTAGCTTGTTTTTGCTACCATTTTAACCTGCCTTAGGTCTGTTTTGGGTGCTTTAGGTCATTTGAGCATTGCTTGGTATGATTGTAGTGTAAAGCCCTTGACTAGCTTCGTATTTCGGGTCTTTTGGCATGCTTTATTTGAGCTATTTGCATGATAGGACATCACTTGGCAAATGATTTCAGTGCTTGTACCTACACCATACTCTCATATTCGTCACTTCTTCATCTTGTTTGAGAGTTGACCTTTATGCCTTGTTGATGAGCCATTGCATGAGCACAAGTTCTTTGCCTTTTTGTGCCTAGGTTTTGGTGTGAAATGGCCTCTATTTGGGCGTGGCTGAGGTCTATCCATTTCAGTTTAAGTCCATTGAGCATGATTGATTTCATGTTGTTCGCATGCTATGTTGTCCATTGCATTATGTAT